ATCCTCAGTACCGTTGCTATAGCCCCAAATTATTCCCATTGCATTCATGTAGCCCCCTGAACCTGGCCTGCCATGCTGCCCCTCCATGAAAACATAAAACCAAGTAGAGTTCATTGAAACTGTATCTAAAAGACTTTATTTTGGATAGATTGTTGAGGGTTTAAAAAAAAAAACAAAAAAAAAAAAAAAAAACATGGTCAGGTTTTTATCGATGTCTGCATCCCTGCCAGGTAGATTCACCCACTTTGTTCTGGAAACCATTGTCACCAGGACTGGAAAAAAAAAAAAAAAAATACGGGAGGGAAGAGTTGTCATAACAGGAAGAAGATAGAAATCTGGGTACCTTGTTTAGTGACAAATGTCAGTGTATTAACCTCTCGAAAGATTTCCTCTTGCTTCCTGTTGTGAAGACACACACGCACGCTCTGGGTCAGTGACTCAATGGGGAAGATTTACTACAACTGGTGCATTCAGAATTGGGCACAGCTGTGCACAGTAACCAAGCAGCTTCTAATTCAAACTTCAATGAAAGGGATACTAAAGTCATTTTTTTTTTTTTAAATAAACACGTTATACTTACCTGCTCTGTGCAATGGTTTTGCACAGAGCAGTTCAGAACCTACTCTTCTCGGGTTCCCCGCCAGCACTCCCAGCTCCTCCCTCCTGTTCGGTGCCCCCACAGCAAGCAGCTTGCTATGGGGGAACCCGAGCAAGCATGCTCCCGAGCCACAGATCTGCGTGTGCATTCACACACAGAACCGTGACCCCAAACCAGCCCCCTCCCTTTCCTGATTGACAGCAGCAGAGCCAATGGCTCCCGCTGCTGTCTCAGCCAATCACAAGTGAGAGTCCCTGAAGAACCAAGGCTCTCGTGGACATCACTAGATCAAGAGGGGGCTCAGGTACGTGTTAGGGAGGCTGCTACACACAGGTTTTTTTACCTTCATGCATACAATGTGTGAAGGTAAATAGCCTTGAGCCTTTACAACCACTTTAAGCTTTGGCAATAAAACCTAGAAGCTAATTGGTTTCTATTCAGAGGTGGACCAGATTTTGCACTGTTCAGTTTTAGTAAATAACCCCTTATATGTAAGGAACTCTTCAGTATTGTTACGACTAGGACTCGGTCCTGAAGCAAGAGCATATGAATGACAGCCAGGAAGGTAGCATTTTTAGAAGGAGAGGCCAGAAACATGAGCCTCCAGGTTTCTCTTTTAGGAATGATTCTAATAAACAGCTAACAGACCTCTCCCTGTCTTGTAGGCAGTGAGGAGCCTGAGCCCTCCCACACAGAAATCAAGGCTTGTATTTCAGCAAATACCTGGCAAAGTCAGAGGGATTTAGCCAGTAACAAATAGGTACTGGATGGTGCCATTGAAATAGAATTAGAGGTGAAATCTTACAACTTGGGACACTTTCTCCCATAAAAACTATCAAAGGGTTGTTTACACTGGCAACAGCCCTTATGGCCCCTATGAAATGCAAGATGCAGTGGGTCGTTTGTGGCTGGGAGGTGATATGTCGCCTCCTCACTGCCTGTTTTAACCCTGAAAATATTGCATCACTGAATGGATTGCCTCCGGCAAAAGGTACTGCCCACTGAATGCAACAGGGGTATAACTTTGCTTTGGGTTAAGGGGGGGGGGGGTAGTAGAACACAGCTCAACAGTCCATTTTTACTGCAACACCCCTTCCCCCCCCATGTGTGAACGAGTCCTCAAGAAAGGGGTTCCCTTGCTTTGAAATTTCCTCTCGCTTCAGGACAGGAAGTTAAGAGAAATGTCCCCAGTGTGACAAAGTAAGATACATCCATTCCCTCCATCAAAGAACAAAAAAAAAAAAAGTCTTCGGCTGCAGGTGTACTTTTAACCACCTTCCTACAGCCATATTGTGTAAAAAAAATAAAAAAATAAATAAAAAAAAAAGGGATGGCTGCCAATTTCTGAAGTGCCATATATAAAATGGTACTTCAGAAATAGCCCTTGGGTGTCCAGTCAGTGCACCTATTGATGGAAGTGAACCGATCCGTCATTTTGAATGTGGGGTCTTGTTTAACCCCTTCCAACTCCCCCATCTCTGATCTTCAGCCTGTCTATGTGACCTGTACATTAACCCTTAATCTCCATTACCCCACTGAACACGGTCTATTTAATGATGTGCTATACCTAGTGCACCATTACCAGGATCTGTTTTGTCCCTCTCAATACCAGTATCTTTTCCAAACTGATGATATCACCTTGGGGTGTCTTCTTTAAGAAAAGGGTTATATTGGGGGAGTGTGTACCGTCCTGGCATTTGTTAGGTTTTAAAACAGAAAAGTTTTGGTTTTTTTTTAAAATTATGTTTTATAGTGAAAAAAATCCAGTGATATTTAAATTACACCAAAAGAAATCTTTTTTTTTTTTTTTTTAAACAAAGGATATAAAATGCATTTGGGTACAATGTTGCATGACAACAGAATTGACAGTCAGACTATCACAAAGTAATCGTCAGTCAAACTATCCAGCACTGAAAATGTCCTGGTAATAAAGGGAAATATACAGGCTGTTACTCAAGCGATTCAACACATACACGGTACATTTTAGAATTTGAGACAAACTACGTATCATGCAACATCACTGTGTGCCAAGAGGCCCAGGCCTCAAGTGGGGAGATGCGGAAGGATGAGCGATATAATCTGACCTGTGTAACGCTGGTATTTTTAGTCTGGGTGAGTATCTTGAGGTATGTGGGTGATATGGATTACTGAACAGAGACTATGTGTCTTATGTTGCCAGTCTACATGGGAGGTTGGTTTCTTTAGAGCTCAGACAGGTAACTTTGAAGCATAATTTCAGACTAAACCTAACTAGTCTTAAAACTGTTCCCTCCCCCTTCCTAACACCTATGCTGTGTAAAAAAAAAAAAAAAAAAAAAAAAAAAGGAAGATATATATACTTGCCTGCTTCAGCCCAGTCATGTGACCTGGCTCCCGTGTCAGCCAGCATGGTTGCAGAGGAGAGGAGGGAGAGCCAACAATGGTGACATCACCGCTGCCAATCATTCCCAGCTGTTGGCGGAGTCCTTCTTCCTCTCTCCATCAGCCGCCACTGGCTGTCACGAGGGATCATATGACCGGACTGGCTCAGGGTGAAAACAGGTACAAGTATATACATCGGTCTTACACAGTTGGTGTACATAGTTAAGTGGAGAGCATTAAGACTAGTTAGAATTCCAGGCTAGTCCTACTTTAACCCAAAGTTAAGAGTCTGCCAGTTAAGAGTCCGTTCATACGGGCAGAGTGATCAGATCCTCCTGTCAGTTGTTCAGGAAGATCTTAATGGAAGCTCAGTGTTCGGTGGAGTGTAAATGGACATACGCCTGTTACTAGTCAGTTACTTCTGAGTCATTGAAGTCTAAAGGCAGGGTCTGCAACTTTTAAGACATAAAGAGCCACTTGGACCCGTTTCCGAAGGGAAAAAAAAAAGACTGGGAGCCGCAAAACCATGGATGTAAATGGACATTCACGCCTGTTTCATCCCCCCTATAGTAATTCATAGTCAGTTACTTCATCGAGTCATTGAAGTCGTAAAGAAAGAAGAAAAAATAAAGTTGACTTTGAGGCGGCCGCCCGAGAGGAGGGAGGGGAGCGGGCGCCCGCAGGTTTTTTTTGAAACCCTAAACCTGGTGGACAGTGCTCCGGACAGATGGAGAGCGGCTAAAAGGGGGTTGCCGATGTAAACAACAGGTGCATGCATGTCCGTTCATATTGGCCTTCCCACAGACCTAACATGAGTCCCATTTCAGGCTGGAGGAAAAACCAGAATGGACAACTGGTTCAGTTGTGCTCCAAATCATTGAGGAATCTGTTCAAAGGTCCCCTGCTAACCAGAACAGCCACCACTGTGCGAAGAGAGCCAGAAACGCACTACAGCCTTCTAAGTGGTCTATGGCCATTGGGTTTACAGTAAAGGGCGTCTAAAGTGATAAAAAGAGGAGGGGGGGGGGGGGGGGGGGGGGGTTACAACTCAGGCCGGTTTTATTGTCTGCGTTCCTGTTGCCGAGACTCACCTATCATCATATGTAATCTCCAGCACAGGAGTGGAGGGGAATTCTTTCACTTGACATCTAAGGCTCCATGTACACTGCAGCTGAAACTCACATTTAGGAGCTTTTGTGTTTTTTTTGTCAGCAGCCCCTTAACTCTCCCTAATGTTTTCCTATGTGTCCATGTTACATCGTCGTTTACAGGCAGTTGAGTTTACAGTCTTTTTTTGAACGCAACAAACTTGCGTTCAGGAGTAGATTTTATCAGCGTTTCAAACTCCAAAACGTGACTAACCGCATTTATAAGCGTTTGGAAAATTTGTTTTACTCTTTCATGTCCAGAGACTTTTTTCATCATGAAAAATGCATGCAAAGCGTTTTCTCGGTACTCAAATGGACCTGGTACACCATACTTTGAGGTTTCACATGAAAGAAAATATGTTAGACACCGCTGCAATAATGTCTGCACAGAAATGAGCTGCAACACATCCAAACACCACAAAAAAAAAAAAAAAAAAACAGCAAATCTCAACAAATACTGCTCTCTCTGCTTCTGCTCTCTCCATTTCTCTCAAAATGTCTGAAATAGTTAAATCTTTACTGTTTTTCAGGGCATACTGGGCATTTTGGAAGGTCTCCTGAGGGTATCTTTAAAAAATGCTTCTAAACACAAACGCTCATAAACACGGTATGCAAACGCGGCTAAACAGACGTTTTTTAACCTACGTTTTCCAACAGTCAGTTTCCATTGTTCAGAAGTGTCCCGTGTACATGGAGCCTAAGAGGGGATTTCCCTCAATATGGGGAGATTTCTGCTCACTTCCTGTTGTGTCAGCACAGGAAGTGTGAGGAAATCTCACCAAAGAGCCCAGCCAGCAAACCAAACAGGTTTAACCAATCCCCACTCTACGCATCCAGTCGGTGAGGTCTTGTTGATGGTCTCAGGTCACAGCCTGACAAGCCAGCGTCCTTACCTTCCTGCTTGGGCTGGGCCCCTGCGTCCACTCTGCGGTAGGACTTGGTCTCCTCCTGGGCGGTCAGCTCACACATGTTGAACCCTTTGACGTTGCATCGGACGAGATAACACTTCCCATTGGACAGCACAGCCAGGTCACAGTTGGCCATCCCACAGCACTGCCTCCAGCACTCTTCATCAGACACCATATTCTCCTCCACCTGCATAACTCTCACTCCGAACGCACTGGGGGCCTCCACATCCACCAGACCAAAGCCCTCCATCACCTCAAAGCCCTCACATGGCAAGTCTGCTTCTGCCAGGGCCAAGGGGAGCAAGAAAAGGAAGAACCCGCGGAGCCAGGCCGCCATTGCTGAGGTTTCCGCCTGGGCGGGGATTGGTCGGTGACGTCACTGGACCCTCGCTCGCTGGGCTCGTGGACGCTCCTCTCGCTGTCCCGACTCAGGGGGGAGACACCGAGCACTGCTTACGGTTCAAATGCTACCACGTGACCACTCGGCAGCGGCCCTCTCCGTAGGACAGGTGGTCTGATCTCTGGCTTTCCCCCCAGCCGCCTCGTTCGCGTCACTAACCCTTCTGCAAGTAACTCGACCAGACTACAGTCTTTCCTTAACAAGTCACGCCCCTTTACGTCACCCCAGGTAAATGAACAGCGGGTGTGCCCTTCTTTCCTCTCGTGTCCCGCCCCCTTCCTGACGTCCCACAGGTAAATGAAGAGCGGATACGCCTTTCTCTCCTTCCTAGCCCGCCCCTTTTAGATCACCACAGGTAAATTTGTCAGGGAGCACCGCCTTTCTCTCCTCCCCGCCCAGCTGGTGTGCAGGTGAAGTGGGCGGGATCACCGCATTGTTTTCCTGTTTACTTCATACGCCTCAGTCCTCCCCCTTCTTCCGGTCTGGGAACCGGTTTCTGGAGGCCGGGGGTAGTTTCGCTGTCCCAGCAGGGATGTCATTCGTCAGCAGGCACACAATGGTGTTCTCTCACCGTGAAAAGTGTGTCACGCAGGGTTTCCTGTCAGCCATTCATTAGCAGTGTGTATTAGGAGGTCATTGGTGAGAGAGATGATGATGGGGTGTATTGTGTGAGGAGGAGAGTCACAAACCTCCAGAGAGGATTCAATCATTTGTGTGAGGAGGGATTTACTAACAGTGCCCATACACTGGTCATAGATTAATGAGTGACCACAGAGCAGGCAGTTACCTTCCATGTGATGCAAATATGCGGCCACAAGAAAGGTGGGCCAGATGATGCACATGTGCGTCCCCGGAGGCAGAAGGTTGTGTGCTGTGAGTGCGCTAACTACGTGCTCCTAGTACACTGACCAACGCTCACACGATACACAAGTCGCATTGCTTTCTCGTGTACGGTTAGGTCCCTGTCACACCTGCACATCACACGGGTTGTTCATTTTTTTGCGCTTTTCTTGGTGTTTTTTTTTCACAGCAGCATAGTGCAATCTATTCACTAGAATGGGCTGTCCTACATGCAACAAACGTGCCAAAAGAAGTTCCTGTACCTTATCGGGTGGTAAGCTTTGTATTTCGTCTTGCGGCGTGTTTTTTGATGAGTTTTTCACACTGCAAAACATGTTTCCAAAGGCACCACAAGCACGATGCAATCTCACAATGCTCGCAGAAACTTATTTCTGAAGCATGCAGGTGTGAATGGGGCCTTAGCGTAGGTTCTCACTTGTGCGGCACTGCACCTTTAACGAAAACGCGTCCCACACAGAAACCACAAATGCACTGCGGTTTTCAGTGTGTGGATGTGCCATTAGGATTACCACGCCTGTATCACATCAGGAGATGCAGCAAAGCATTTTTTGTGCAGGTGGTTGCGGCTGCAGGAACAAGTGCGGTCCCACAGCGGCAACCACCCCACAAACATGAATGTGGCTTTATGCAGGCCATACCTGGTTCGAATTCTGAACAATTTTTCATCCGATAATCGAAAACGTTGTTCGCTCGGTAATCCGATGGTACCATCAATGAATTCGAAAATTGGCCGACCAAGTCATAAAGTTCACCCCATATAACAGGCGAAACGTCTGTTCCTTCCAGGTCACGGCTCATGCGCATATTCTTTTTAAAAAAACGATTGTACGATTTGACCATCATTGAGTCGAAAATCGGTTGTTTTTCACAAATTTTCCAGCATGCCCGATCACCAAAAAGGGGAGGAACCACAAAAATAGGCCAGTGCCATTGACCCACTAACAGCGAAAATCAGCCGATTATTTTTAGGTCCAATTTTCGGACTAAAAAATTGGTCGAATTTCGACCCATGTATGGTTGGCCTTAGACCTAGTACACATGATAAGAATATCACTTGATTGTCTTTTCTTTTTTTGCATGCTAGTCTCATATCGAATACAAATAGGTTACTAGAGTTACATAAATTCTCACAAGAGAGATTACAACTTCCCGCAATGATGTATTTTATTGTAATCTATTCTTCTGTTTTCCAAACGTGAGGTCTTGGTCACTTGATTTTTTTCGGACGAATACAGTCCTGATTAAATGAAAATCATTTGTTCTGTTATCTTACAAGAAAAATTTTCATGCTTTTCCCTTCAGATAATTATGCATGAACTGTTGTGATCAACTCTCCAAAGCTGTATGCTAACAATCAGATTATCATACAAGCACTCCAAAAATGTTTTTTTTTCCATCCGATATTCTCATTGTGTGTACTAGGCATTAAAGTGTTACTAAACCCAGGACCCTGCATTCACTATATCTGGTCTCCCACAGTAAACAGAACACGGAAATGCAATTATTTTAGTAAATATAAACTGCTAAATACTTTTCTGATCAGCAGTTAGAGCAGTCTTGTGACTTCTATCAGTGTCCAGCAGAGCACTGGTTAAAGCTTGTAGGAGGAGTTTCTTTTTGCTCTAGGAAGATGCAAAACTCTTGACCCTCTGTCTAGACCAGCAATGGGCAAACTACGCCCGGCGGACCTTTTAATCCGGCCCGCGGACCTAGGCTCCCGCTAGGCTCCTCTCACAGTCCGCCCTGAAGACCGGTGTAGCATGAAAATCTGTGTCCTATGAGGATCTGTACCCCTCGACGTATCTGCGCATGTGCCGGAGATCGCCGATCGGCTGCTAATGCCTGAAACTGGCACATGCGCAGATACGTCGAGGGGGACAGATCCTCATAGGAGACAGATTTTCATGCTACACCGGAACGGCGCGGGAACACGGCGAGAGGAACGCGTGGAGCAAAGGTAAGTGAATTGACACAGGGGGGACTTGGGGACTTAATATGGGGGATTACTATGGGGGATGAATTACTATGGGGGATGAATTACTATAGGGGGGATGAATTACTCTATGGGGGATGAATATAGGGGGGATGAATTACTATGGGGGGATGAATTACTATAGGGGGGTTGAATTACTATGGGGGATGAATTACTATATGGGGGATGAATTACTATATGGGGGATGAATTACTATAGGGGGGATGAATTACTATGGGGGATGAATTACTATAGGGGGATGAATTACTATGGGGGGATGAATTACTATAGGGGGGATGAATTACTATAGGGGGAATTACTATATGGGGGATGATTACTATATGGGGGATGAATTACTATATGGGGGATGAATTACTATAATTACTATATGGGGGATTAATTATGCTTACTATGGGGGAATATTACTATACTTACTATGGATGACACATACACATCATTCATCTACTCTTGGTCTGGCCCCCAGGTCCAATATATGAACCCATTGCGGCCCTCAAGTCAAAAGGTTTGCCCACCCCTGGTCTAGACAGTGCCGATTGGCCCTGTGCTGATCACATGTACTGTCTCAAGAAAAGAAAAAAGACCTCTCTAGCAATACACACTAAACTGAACATGTGCAGAATGGCTACGGTTCAGTCTGTCTTATCAGGATATAAGATGTGGACATTTGAACAAGAGGAGGAGCAGAGAAGTCAGGAGCAAACAGCCTTTCTACACAATACAGAGGATTAACACCTTAGGTTCCACAGTGAGTATAATAAGCATGCTTTCTGCATACACAGACTGATGTTACTGTAGTGGGTTTAGTATCACTTTAAAGTATAACTAAACTCTACTTTTATGTGGAAAAAAGATATGATAACATACCTTGGAATATGCAGACCTGCGGGACTTGTACAAGTTTAATTTCCACAAACTTTTATCCACCATAGTTGAGGACCTCAGCGAATGGGATTGATCATGTTACTCATGGTTTGGCAGGGCAGCTATTCTTAAAATTAATGTATTACCTCATCTCTTATATGTCTTCCAAACTGTCCCTATAGCCTTACCGGTGGCTTTTCTCTTCCCTGAAATGCGCAATGCTAGAGTTTGTATGGCGTAAGAGCCCATAGACTCAGTTATGCCCTCTTGACCATGCCCAATCACAAAGATGGGCTGGGCCTCCCAGACCTTAAAAAATATTATTGGGCCTGTCATCTGTCCAGAGTGGTCATTTGGTCTGTGCATGACCGGGTTAAGGCCTGGGTCTCGGTGGAACAGCTGTTTTCCCAAACGCCCCTTTACGTGCTATTTTGGATACCCTCTGCTCAAGCTCATCGGGGTGAAAACCTACCCGCTGCTGAAGCCAACTCTACAAATTTTTTCGCCAGGCCTGTAAACTTTATTTCTTTTCTTTCTCGGCCTCTGCGCCTCTGTGATTTAATCCAGACTTTCCACCAGGTGTCTCTGGGACTTTCTTACAGGGGACCTGGCTTGGGAGAACGTTGACCCAAATCACCTTTGCTCGTACTAGGATGGCCTTTGAAATTGCCTGCTCTTCAGACCGACCTCAGGCCCACATAATATCTTCTATTTATTTGTCCCTTTTTTCCGACACGCCCCCTTTGAGTATCACCGCTCATTCTAAATTGGTGCGGGATCTTGAATATTACACTTACCACGGAGGAATGGGAGGATGTCTGTCTTTACACTCACAAAGGTTCGCTGAATATCAATATTCAGGAAAATGGTTATAAGCTGCAATCTAGATGGCACCGTACCCAAACGGTGGTCCACAAGTTCTGCCCAGCAGTGACTGACCAATGTTGGGACTGACCAATGTTGGCGGCGTGATTCAGCTGCGGGAACATTGCTATATATCTGGTGGCAATGTCCGGCTTTAACGAGCTTCTGGAAGCATGTCCATCTTATTACCTTTGCGGTAACTGGAACCCCTCTGGAGTATACACCTGCGCAGTTCTTGTTACACCACTCTGGGTTACTTAGACGGTCGTACTTTAAGTCCCTAGCGATGTACATGATAAACGCTGCTAGATTGTGCATCCCTGTCCACTGACATATGAACCGGGCCCCCACAGTGGTG